AAATATACTATTACAATAATAATAATAAAATCAATAACACTTAATTCAAGATTATTGTTTTTAGTCCATTGCTCTGTTTTGCAAGAATACAAAATGCTGAAAGCATGAAAATTAATACTGAAATAGAAGGAGTAAAAATAGTCTTACTCAGAATTTTCTCCTCGTATACGTTATGTTTACATATATATATATATATATATAGCTTGTTAAAAGTTTTTAATTAATTACAAACTTATTTTCAAACTATCATATTTTTCTGTAAATATTTTTCCCGTGCAAATTATTCAAATGAATGCTAATTATTTTTTTTTTTTAATATAATCCAGATTCAAAGTAAACGCAAAAAGATCATCTAGAAAAATGTGTATTTTACTATTAATATATTTGTACAACAATAAAACTTATTTTTCTATTAGGAATCTTGTATAGTTTAAAGTCTTTTTTATTTATTTTATGAAAATATTATACAATTATAATATAATATGTACTTTTAGTTAGGATTTGTTAAAACCTCCGTGCTTCGGGCGTTTAAAGTTTAATTTCGAAAATAATTTTTGGTTTGCGAATAAGTTTTCTAACAAGTTATACACATACATTAAAAATAAATAGACCTTTTTAAAGTCTTTGACATGGTTAAACTGTTAAAGAAAATTACACGTATGTATTCACATTATTTTAAAAAATCAAGTAAAATTAAACATCTATGTTGAAAAAAGAAAAAAAATCCAAAATGTACATAAGATAAATGGTGTTTTAATCATTTTTCGACTTGTTAATTTATTAAATACTTTAATTTAATCAAATGAAGTACAGCAAATCGTATAATTACACACGATGTACGCTCGAATTAAAATGCACGCACTTCATTCGTTTTTTAATCGGTTTTTTTTTTTTGCATTTCTGTTTAATCGCGTCATTTATATTGAGCACTGCGTAATGTATGTATTTAATGTAAATCCAATAATAATAGGACAAACAAGCGTTCATTTCAATGTGCTTTTAAATAAAAAAAAATTGCAAAGCATCTTATTCCTTTTAACCCTCCGTGGTCCTACTCCTTTCAATACGGATACATTTTAAAATTACGCTGTAACATAATATAGATAGGGATAATTATTGTAAAAAATGTATAACATAATAGTATATATACTTTAAACGCTATAGTTGATTTGAATTTTAATCAATAGGTAAGCATATGTATTAAATGTGTATTGATTTTTTTTCTTTTAAAACGATAAAGATATAGAAAATAAAAAGAAAATATTTTGCCTCGATATGTTTCCCTGTGACATGGGAGCATTGATCGGCAATTTCGATTAGGAAAAGTCCATTTTCAACGCTCATCTTTGAATGTCCTGGGAGGAAAAAATCAAACTAAAAGGATATCTCTTTTTGACACATTTGACCATACATCGTGAAAACACGTAAGTTTCTATTATATACGACTTCTCGTAGCACCTTCAATAGAATCTCCTAAGCGGTACATAAGCATTATTCCTTATACACAACGCCCGTCGTATATCTTTTAAAAACTATTTCGATTTTTGCTCAAGTGACCTATTATAAAAATGGCGAAATTCTCATGGTTAATAAAATATTGTAACTGTTAATGGCACCCTGCACCGCGGTAGCCATACTATTTAAAATAGTAATACAGCTTCTAAAATAGAATCTTAACTATTAAGTTTGGTATGTTAATAATTAATTAAACGTTTTGGAGTTTTCTTTTAGTTTAATTATATCACGGAAAGTATTTCCCAGTAACATTCTTAAATATAATTGTTCGGACTTGTGCTCGGGAATTCTTTCTTCTTATTCTTTAGTTTATTAAAATACGTCACAATACAAAATACATTGTTACAAATAACTTGTAATAAAGTAGAACACGTTATATTTCGTTACATTTTAATCCTATTAAACATTTTTGAAACTTATAAGAATGACAAACGATAATAATTATTAAGAAGGAATTATTATTAAGCAAAATAATTTTCAAGGTACTTGCGAATTTATTACTCTTCGGCATTTTAACGATTTCAGCTTATTGTCTTTATACATTTAATTTCTATTGTCACAATTGTTTTTTCATTATAACTTATGCTGTTAATTATTTACTTATTAAACTAAACTTGATTTCAATATTGTTACTACTGTTTTTTGTCTTCTGCGTTTTTAACTTAGTTTCAAACTCCAAAAATTATTGGCTTTTTAGTTATGCGTTTCGTTTCACATAAACTAAATGAATAAAATACATTTCAACTATTAACCTAAAAAGATTCCAGGACCTACTTCTTATCATATTGTACAATCGCATTGATCGGAGATCATAATATGCGGTCAGTACTAAAAGTATTTTTGTAGGTCAATAATAGAAAAGATTCTCTCATTCCCCTCCAGAAATCTAAAAAAACTCGAAAAGATATTTACATAGCTTTCCAATTTCGATTTAAAAACTTTATAACTCTGTGAAAATTATGAAAATAATAGTTAGGTATTTTTTATTTGTATTTTTAGATGTTTTTTTATCAAGTCACGGCTAAACCATAAAACCAATTTCAATCCCTCCTTTACTACTCTAAGTTTTTTTATGATAGTAATTGATTTGTGCTTTCAAAAGTAATGCTTCCCTAATAGCCGCTCTTTCCAAATAGTTATAAATTATCTTTAAATCTCATTAATTATTAATCAATCTAAAAATCATTTCATATTTTTTATTTAAAATTAAAAAAAATAAAATGTTACATATGTAACGTTGTCAGGATGAAGAGTAGTTTGGTTAAAACATTTACGTAGTATTGAACATTAATAGAAATTTGAATAAAAAATAATAATTAACAGATTAGACTTGTTCACATAAAACACATAAGTTCGATAATAATAATAATAATAATACAGAATAATGTTTTGAAATTCTACGGACCAGTATGTTAACGGTCAAAAATACATTAAAACAGTATAATGGTTGTTCATACAATAAGCGCTTTTGACATTATCAGGTTATAACAGACTGTAGTATTTTTTTCTATTACTTCTATTACTCTTTATAATTAATAATAATAATATTCTACAAAAAAAAAAAACCATTTTGAGTGTCGATATAATGTTTTGTGTATAAATAATTATTATTAATCCTATTTAAATTATTTTGAGTTTTAATGAAGATGGGGTGAAGAACAAAATATATTTATACTACACATGTTTATTATAAATTATTATACAAACACATACATTAATGTTTGGCTACTTTCCCAAGGCAGTTTTTTTTAAATAATTACGTGCCCATTATAATATATAATATTTTATAATACAGTATTACCCAAAAATACCTTTCATAAAAAAAGCAAACGTTTCCATTCTTACAAAGTGAAACGGATATAATTAAGGCAGTCTTGTTTCCAGATGAAACCATGCGACATATATTTATTGTTTTATAATATATTATTTGCTGTGTATATTATTAAATTTTATAATTTAATCGTTTAGTATACGTTTCTTATAATTATTCTACTTTTGTTTTTATTATTGAAAATACTGCGTAAGTAAATATCTAAAACTAAATTAGAACGCTGGTTTCCCAGCTAACATAACAGTTTTTCCCCTCAATATTTCTATAACAAGTTTCTTAAAACTTTCTTTTTATGATTGCTATGGAACTGCATTGATGTTTGGTGTATATAAGAAAACGTCGTTTAACAGTTGATAACTTCACGACTTTAATTTGTCCAGCACTACTCTAACCTTGCCTTTTTAGCAATATTGGTACATTTATCCGAGTAACTGAATTTAAATTTCAACTATTATAAGAGGCGGATTCAAGGGGGACTGAAGCACCTCCCTCACGTATTTAAATTGTGTACATGAAAAGTTTATTTTTTAATAATATAATGTAATAGAATATGCATTTGATTTGCTATGTACACTTTAGTATTTATTTCTTTTTCTTTTTTTTACATTCAGATAAACTTTAAATCTATGATTATTGCTTATATTATGTATTTAAAGTGAATTTTTTCTAGCTTTAATTTTTTTTTAAACTTATTCTTTATAATTTTATCTCGTTTTAAGTATTATGAAAATATATTTTGCAATACTTTTTATTGTAACACGTAGCGTTGTGTATATTGAAAAAAATAAGATAAACCTGATTGGTTTTACATTTTTCTTACAGTAATAAGCTACACAAATATGTAGATTACCTACTGGTTATGGTTATAGGTAATATACTTTCAATTCCACTAGAAAATAAAATATTTCAAATTTCATATTTGAAAACAAATCACTATTTTCTTCTTGAATTTTATTTTTGAGATATATATTTTGGCGGTATCTATACTCGAGGTATATAATTTAAGCGTTATTTATTAACATATATAACAGGCAAATAGGAGACTACATTTTTCTGAACAATATGGACACACCATAAAAACATAGACAGGGTTTCAGCTATAAAATAGACAACATCTATATCAAGTTTTGGAACATTCAATTTCAATACTATTCTTTGTTCCATTTGAAATGCTTTCCGACCCTAATAATGATCATACGCCGGATGCCAGTCGTCTTTTTCGTATAACAACAATAAAATATAAATAAAAAACGATACAGCTCTAAATCATTTTTGTAAAAATTGAATAATATAAAAGGCAAATGCGAATAGAAAGTTCGGTATTCAGATATTCGATATTCAGATTATTTTGTCGATTTGGCTCAGACCAAACTAATGGCGCATAAAAATTCAAACGTATCAAAGCCCCGTGTTTTGTAACAAAATCAGTATCGGTTTTTTATCGTAAATACTGTCCGAAACGATGAAATAACAACAATCGTTAACAAAATTATTATAGGAAACATACTGCTTTGCATGCGGGTCGGCGTCTAAAATTGCTCACTTCCAACCTCGGAGTTATACCTCATTAAATTAAAATACTAAGAATTCGAAAATAAATTGCTAGTGCTAGACATTTGTTAAAAAAAAAAAAAAATGTAATTTGTGTTCTTACTTGGTGAATAAAAAACAGTTGCGCAACACAGGGTAACGATGATGTCGTTGTACAGGCGGGTGATTTTTTTCAAACAGTTCAAACGCATGATCCGGTCGAAATAAGACGGCCGTCAATCATAATAATAATAATATCAATAATTATTATAATGCCGGAGGTTAACTTCAACGGAATCGGTGCACGCAACGCACTTGGATATCGTCGACGACACCGTCGACGGTGGACAACATACTCTTGATGATCGTGGCTAGTACAAATCCGGAAAATCCCACGTTCATTTTGGTGATTTGATTTTCCTTTTTTTTTTTTATGATAGGAAGATCGGTTGCAACTACCGGCGATGACGGGGAGTTCCGATTTTCCTTTTTTTTCCAAATAGACCACAACGCGCGCGAGCAAACTGCGCTCTGGGCGGCCGCTAATTGGCACCGGGGGCTCCGGTCGGTGGCGCCCGCAACGACGTCTAGCGAGCACACGTGCTTGGCTATTCGGTTTATTTACCATGCACGGGCTTGTAGCGGTTCTCCGAAAAAATAACTTATGCCTTATACATTGAACCCGTTGGCGACTTTCGGTATGTCGGTGTTGCAATATTGTTTGTTTTATAGTAAACAATACGAATTAATTTGTATTTGATAAAATCAAAAAAACTAGGTTGCCCCAAATACAAACCTCGACGCTCGATCGCTCATCATAGTCGCCTGATTTTTCGTTATTGTTTTTGTTTATTTATTGAAGTCGGCAAAGGTGTAAGTGGGTTTGTTTTGAAATATCAACATACGGTTCGACGAAAATACAATTTTACAGAGCATACAAATTCTAAATAGCGTTCAATAAATTTCGAATTGAATGTTAAAGTCAACGAGTTAATTCCGAGAGAATATTCGCATTTACAATTAACCTATTTCAGTAACACGCATAGGGGTGGTATTTCGGGATAGATTCCGGATTATAATTGTACTTTGTTTTTATAAATCCTAATATAGTTAGGTACTGAACTCAATACATGGAACACGTATTCAAATTGAAAAATGTCCCCATACGGAAGGCAGCCATATTTTGTGTGCTAATTTCATAAAAAGTAAAAATGCTACGTCACTTTTCCATGATGTGTATTAAAATGTTAGGTTAGGTGATGATTACATAATTATAACTCCGTCATATATTTGATAAGTCAAAGAAAAAATAATAAATATCATGGACAAAACAACAACTGTACACAAAATGACAGCCTCCTACCAGGTGACATTTTCATAAGCAGCCGACTATAGTTAATAAGCGTTCAATATATTAAGTTCAGTGTATGTAAGCCGTAGGGCTACAAATAACCTCTAGGAGCCAGCTAATTTTTTAAAAGGACGCTATACCGCTATTTATTAATGAGTTATGTATAGGCAATTTTTTTGCAAAATCCTTATTTAAAAGTTAACCTTTGAGGTGTAGTTATTAGTTCAGTAATTAGGCTTTGTAATTAGAAGTAATTAGAAGGTTAATTTATTTTTCAGACTATCACAGCATCATTAACAGTCATTTAAAAATTGTTTTTCATCTATACATAGCTACGCAGAATGCGTTTAGTCGGTCAACATTTAAAAGATAACATTTCGAAAATAATGTCTTATCCAATATTAAAAATAATAACGTAAAAAAAAGTTCAAGAACTAATACACATAATACTATTTTTGGCAAACCTATGCTTGGGAGTTTGTTTTTTTTTTCAAGTAACCGCTAACCTGGGAGGGAACTGTTTACACACTACTTCCTCCAATGCTTGGGAGTTGGAACAATGAAGAAATTAAACGTATTAATTCAGTTCTGCAAAGTTTCAGAACAAAATTATAACGTTTTTAATTAAAGTCGTTGTTCTGTTCCTAATCCCCGAGTTTAACACTCACAATGGCGGACATCTATTTTTTCTAGTAATAAGTACAGTCGTATAAAAATACTGATGCTTAATATTCCTAATAATTAAGGTTGCAACAAAACAGTTTAAGGAGTCATTCTAGTTTTTTAGCTATAAAATACGTTTGACTATGTATTCTGGGTATTATATGTAAACATGTAATAATTATTATTATGCATTAGTCAAAAGTCAACTAAAAAAATGTTCTGATGCCGAATTATATTTACAATTTCATTTTCTGTAGAATACAAATATTTACAACCATATCATTTTTGTTTGTAATATTTTTCACTCGTTCAAAACAATAATAAATTTAAAATAAAACTACCAACTAATCGTGTTAAACTTTTTTATTAATATTTAAGTTTAGTGCTTATAATTCAAATGAAATACTGTTTACATTAAAAACAAACTTTATGAACTTTGTGAATAATTCAAAACCAACTGTGGTGATTGTGTACACGTACAAAAACAAATACTCGCCCCGTTTTTATTTACCGTCTCGTAATCTGAACCATTCACACCCCACTTAAGTTGTAATATGCAATATTGCAGCTGAGCTAATGCATTATTTTCTCCGTTTTAAACGAACAGAACATTCAAATAGGCCTTTGTTTACTTCTATTTTAAACCCATCTACCGACTTAATATAACTCTGAATATTACTCTTTATTTACTCAGAAGTATTTATCGTTACCTCCATTCCGTATTTCCACTTTAATGCGGTAAAATGACCATTTTCTAGCTTTATCCAGGCCCCTAAACATTTTTAAAGCCCCCCCACCCAAAAAAAAAAATATTTATCGAATGAACATAGTTGAGTGACAGTCCGTTAGGTGACTTCTACATTATAATATTGTGAATATTGTAAACAAATCGTATAGAAATTAATAGTACACCATAATTATTTATTTATTGATATCAAGAAAAGCTTTACCCCTCGATAAATATTTGATTATTGATAAAATTTATCATAAATACCAGTGCGGTAAAATTGATAATATAAGATAAATTGTATTTATTGGAATATTAACACTGAAATGTGTATTAAAAGGCGATAAAAGTATCATCGATTATAAATTGTATAATAGAGTTTAGTAAATAATTAATTGCGTAACTTAAATGTGAAAATATTTCATGCGAAAATTGGTAGATAAGCCGTTACAGAAACCCATAAAATATGATAAAGATATTATAGAGATAAAATAATACAAAAACATTGTTTCTTCATCAGGGAAATTGCCGTTAGTTAAATTCACACTTCAGCTTCAGTTTATCGAAGTACCAAACAGTTTATCTGTCAGTCGTAAATTACCAGTACCCATCGTAAATCTTTATATTTGTACTTAACCACAAAAGTAAAACGATTATTCGAAAAAGTTGTTTGGCAGTTTGCCTTTGAATACTAATTTAATCATCCAACATAAGTATTTTACAGATCGATTAACATTATTTGCTGATTGAAATATATACAAACAAAAACTTCATTTACTTTCATGGATTTATTTATGTTACCGTGTTAATTGTGTACTTAGTTTTTCGCCTTCTCAACTTTTTAAAAATGTCGACGTTTTATCATAAAATGATAATGATTTCACTATATGCAACGAATGTTTATTTTTATTTTTGTTCTTGAGTTTTGAGTGATATTTTTCAATATCATATGTTCATTAATCATAAGAATTATAAACAACCCAATTAACTCTATTAAACTCAATTAAATTATCTTTTTTTTTTAATCAGGACAAAATAACTATAAATTTAATTGATCGAGAATAAAAATCGTCTGAATAATACATAATTAAAACTATTGCAATAATATAAAAATGCAATACAAATTAGAAACAGTTAAACAGTGCAGGGTCTTTTGCATATTTGAGATTCTCTGAGAACTTCAGAAAGACACCATACAATTTTTTTGAAAGTAGTAAAACAACATTATTAGGGCCTTTTTTTGTTTAAATTTAAAAAAATTATATTTATTCTAAACATGACCGTGTTTTAAGTACCTATAGGTACGGGGTCCATTTTTTAATTGGCGGCATACTGGGTGTATTAAAGCTGTGCACGCATATGGACCTTGCGGTGCTTATAATTAGAGTCACTTTCGAATACATTAATTAGCTACTTTACCTAACCGTTCAAATTGGGTTCCTAAAAAATAATATTGTTTTGTTATCTGCATATTGTCATTACTGAAGTAAACTTAATATTCTTTGAAAACACATTTTACAGTCTCAGTTGAACTATAGTTAGCGCGTAGACAAAAGAATAATCTGTAATATTTTCCGTTTAAAGTCTATATAGAAACTCGTTATGGTCTATGTATGAACCTAACACTTAATTCAATGTATTCCGAGAATAGTTTGCGCATATGGAATGTGTGGCCGTTGTAATTTTATAGGCCATCACCGTCAGAGTCAACACTATACAAATATTTATAGTATAGCATACCAAGAAAACATTTAAAGAAGGATAAATGTTTAGTGGCAAAACTTTTCCTATACAACAAATAACGGTTAAACGCAAATTATGAGCAAAAGTTTTAAGACTGGTAGCCAAAAAGGGGAAAACAGATACACAATAATGGCAAACGACCGGCTATAAAATTTGACCCAAGGATCAAATCGGTTTACCTAGGTATACGTTTTCAATACTGTTTTACAAGACCCAAAGAAAAATACTGTCCAACTGTTTATACTGTTTTTTGGTTTAGATCATAGATGTGATTAAAAATACTGTATTCATCGTGTTAAAAGTTTAAGCATATTGACAGCTTGAATCATTATACAAATATTTATTTAATATTAACGTCAACCTTTTTTTTTTGCTAACCTTAAAATTATATTGTTCAAAACATCATATTATTATGGTACAAAAAAGTTAAACATAATTTAATAAGTTACACTTTATTATTTAAGTGTTATATTTTATTGCAACCCTCTTTTATAATTTTAACATTAAAAATGTTTTAGGAATTATAAGCTTTAAAATGTTAGAGAAAAAATTAAAAATAAAATAAACTATGCCCTGTTCGATAAGTTAAAAAAACAAAGACTAACCGTTTATACATTTATAGGAATAATTAACGAGGGAAAAATACATTATTTAAATAATACATTTTTGTGGGTTTTAGTTTAAAAATAATGTATTTTTGTTGTTGCTAACCAAACCAATTGCTGTATAAATATATTAACAGTTTAAATTGCATTTTTTCTCAGAAAATAATTATAACTAAATATCTGTACGTAAAATTGACATAGTATTTTACAATGAAAATTATGAAAAGTATACACAACATACATCCTTATTTAAGCAGTGCAGAATTGTGTCATTTTTATTTTTTATTTTGTGTAGCACGTGGAGTGTATGTCATTATTACGCTGCACATGGATATGATATCGTAAAATTGCATACATAAATTACTATAGTTACTATTGTAGTATTGTTCTCTATTTACTACGTGCGTTGCACAACGATAATAGAAATGTA